CGGTTCCAACCGTCGGTTGCGGTCGGTTGGACGGTTCCAACCGACCGCTGCTCTCCCCTAATTGTTTGATACTAACCAAAGCATTAATCTATCATTTAACTTTGTCTTAGAGTACACGTATGAAACCACCACTTATTGAGTATATAGATAACTATACAACTCTAATTTCCCATATTCTTTTATATTTTTTCCTTTTGTTTTTTTCATACTGCTTCTTTGGGCTTCCTTTAGTTGTTGATTTTGTTGCATTTTACAGTTATTTGTTTCTTGCTTCCTCACAAGTTGCTATAAATAAACGCAAATGACTTCACATTATTACTTTTTAATTGTTTTTTATTTCGGGTAAAAATGTTTTGAATTTATCTTTGAAATTAAACCTAAATGCTTGAACGTAAATTTCGATTTATATAAAGAGAAATTCACTTTTTTCCGTTGTTCAACACGTATTAATTTATTTCTATAAATTGAATTGAAAATTTAATATTTTATTAAAAAAATTTTTATAAAAGACTTAGATTTTAAATTTTATAATGACCTCTATAAGATTAATCGAACTCATTCTTAATTTTCTTTTAAATTGATTAATATTATTAATATTGTTTCTTGCAAGACATAACTTCAGATGGCCTGAATTGTTAGGAAAGAATGGTCAAGTTGCTAAATCAACAATTCTAAAGGACAATCCTGAAGCAACTGTTGACATAATAACAGTGGAAACAGTTGGATTTGCAAATTTTTGTTGCAATTGTGTGTTTATTTTATTTTTGCATCTTAAAATTAAATTATTTGTCTAAGATTTATGTTTGATGCATAATATTTATATGAAAATTTGTTTACGAGTTGAGTCCGTCCTAGCTTTGGACATGATTTTAATACACGATCTAGTTCGAGACATGATTATTATTTATAGAAAATATATTTTAATTTTTAAAATATTAAATATTAATTAATTATTTTAATAATAAATTTAAATTAAATGACTGAAATAGTCTTCTGACCGAGTTGAGGGCAGGATTTTGGAGGTGTTAATTTGGTCCATGAACATTTCTATCTATATATTGTCAGTCAACAAAAATATGACATCTCCTTAATTGAAAGTCATTTATGAGAAAATCATAACAATAAAAGAGAAATAATCAATTGTTTATTAAAAATAAAAATATTTAGAATTAAATGTACTAGATCGTAATTTTTAATATCTGTCTTATTATTACTTTCTTCTTATTATAGTAAATAGTTAAAATACTATTTTGAATTTTTTTTTATTTTGTATTTTGTTCACCAAATTTAATAAATGACTTTGCAATGTATTGATTACATGTAAGGTTTTTTTTATAAATATCACTTTAACGAGTGTCAATAAATTACAGATAAACATTTCACTTAGTCTAGTTTTAAAAAGAAAAACAATTAGCTTACCCTTTGTTAATTGAATGTAGGCTTTTAATTTGATAAAAAATTTGAAAAAAAAAGGCTCTAGTTTTATTATTTTTGTATTTTTTAAAATTTATTTTAGAATATTTATAAACCATAATTTTTAATATAAAAAATAAAAAATTGTTAAAAATTGGTATGATATATAAAAAAAATAAAAATTATAGGTGTTAAAAAATTTGGATATAAATACATATATAAAGGATTAAAAAATATGACTAGAGACAATATATGTAATTGGTTCATTTCCCCAAACAAAAATCCCATGAATGCCAAGCTTTCCACAGGATTCTTCACAGCATCCGGTCCAACCATGGGTGCTCGTTATGCTAAATTCACACATTTATCTGTCACAGACAACGTCCACCCACTGCCACATCAGCAAAATAAGAACCTCAAACCAATCAAACTTCAATAATGCATCACAGTCATGACATTACACAGTAACACAAACTTCTCTCCTCGTTCCCTTCCCATTTGCCACCTCACTTAAGATAAGAGAAATAAAGAAAAAAGCACACACTCCCATGTTTTAGACTTTTCCTTCCTTTGTTTTGTTCTCCTTGCCTTTTGATAATTTTGCGCCGATTTTGGTGTTATAGAATGCAGATTGGTGGATTTTGAAGGAAACCCAGATTAGACCAACCAAAAAAATTTAGACCCAAGAGAAGAAAATGAGTTCATCAAGAAGTGTGAGGAAGTTGGAAGTGGTGTCACCAGTGCCAGCAGACATAGATATTGCAAACTCAGTTGAACCATTTCATATTTCTGAGATTGCTAAGGACCTGAATCTCAGTTCCAACCATTATGATCTTTATGGCAAATACAAAGCCAAGGTCTTTTCTTTGTTTCCTTTTAGTTATTATGATAATTCTTATATGCCCATTTCATTGGATTTTGATGTATGTTGTTCTAGTTGTTTATTTTGGTTGATCATTTGTTTTGTTGTTTAGAGATGGCCAAGATATGAAACTTTGGATTCTTTAATGATTGATTTAATCGGTTGGTTGTCATTTTGAAATTGAAAAATGGTAAAAGTAGAAAATTGAATAATAAGATCAGACTTAAAAATTTTATCTTTTTCTTTTTCTGGATTTTCTCAACTGCCAAATTAAAGCTTTTCTCTTTGGTTGTTGAATGCTTCAAATTCCAGATTTGAAACGTTCTCTGTTGCTTCAAAGATAATGCAGGAAATGGAAAAGAAGAGAAATCTTATTTTCTTTTGATTTTGACTTATTTGAGATGAAGTATAGTTGATTGAGTGTTTAAAAGATTTAAAAGTCCAGGAGAAAACCATTTTTTTGTATGCTGTTTCCTTATTTATGTTGGCAACTGAATGTTGGGATTTGAATTTGATTTATTTGGGTGATTTGGTTTATAGGTGTTGTTATCCGTGCTTGATGAGCTTCAAAGATCTGAAGATGGTTATTATGTGGTGGTCGGGGGAATTACTCCGACTCCACTTGGAGAAGGCAAGTCCACTACTACAGTTGGTCTGTGCCAAGCTTTGGGTGCTTTTCTTGATAAAAAGGTAGTCATTTCATTATTCATACTTAATGATATTTTTATAGATAGGAAATTGCCAAATGAAATGGTATTTCTCTAGCTCTTTCTGGGATACAAGATCATTCATTTAACTTATTGAGGATTTTTTATTGTGTTCTAGATCCTCTGTTGTTGTTCTTGTTATGCAGCATACGTTGAAATACATTAGGACTTTAAAAGCTCTCTTATTTTGTTAATTGGAAAGCTTTGACACTGGAATCTTGGCAGATGGGGCAATTTTTGCTTAAAGTAATATATTTCAAGCTAGCTTCATAGATGGCAGAGAAAAGTGCCATGATTGTTGATGTATAAAATTGCTTATTCATAAATGTTCTTGTAAAGCTAGCTCAACAATTGAAGCTATCAATGTGGTTGAGAATGGTTTTTTCAATTTCTTGCTGTGTAAATTTAGTTTGAAAGAATTTCAAATCTGAGAATTACTACATTAGTATCAGTTTGACTTTCTAGGTATTCCTGATCTACAGTGATAGTGACCTATGTATATCTTGACATATTAGTTTAGCCTAGTTAGTGAATGTCCTTGATGAAATTAACTCTTTTGATGTTTTCCTATTCTCTTTGTGCCAGTTTACTGGTA